ACCATTTGCAGCTATTGAAGAGAATCTTAAAAGGAATACTGTTGTATTGTACCTATCTAAATCATATTCAGCATCAGAAAATTGAAGGAAGTTTTTATTGATGATTTTGACCCTCCGCAGTAACGCAGTTTATTCATGGAAAAATAATCAAAACTCCATCCAGATTATCGTTTCGTAGATTTGAAAGACAGCATTCGAACCAGCATTAAAAGGCGCATTTTGATATACAAATCATTATGAATGGCCGCGGTGACCAAGTATCCTTCCCTTGTTAGAGCAATGATTCAAAAAAATCTCTCTCTGATGTGGACAACCGATGGTCCACTGCCCTTGCAAAATCATAAGCTTTCCAGTCTAGTATTTTTCCACACTTTAGTATTTCTTCTAATTTTTTGCACTTTTGGAACCTGTAGACCTCGTCGTCCAGGAAAGTGGTTGTTGTTATTTAGAAAACAACTTTACATCTCGTAAAGAAACTTTCCCAAGCCAAAAGTGTTGCGCAAAATCGCGTCGTCCCACAGCGCCGCCACGCAGAATTAGGCGGCGTTGTCAATGGGTTAAGTTTCCGCCATGCGAGCCAGGATAGAACATGAACGATAGCTTGAGGTGCCTGACTGCCGCTTGCTTCGTCGCTCAGATTATAGAAAGACCAGTGCGTCACCTCTGCTTCGCAGAGGCTCGCACTGGCCCTATGCTCTGTATGCCTTACTCATTCCCGCATAATAATGACATTGAAACTCACCGCGCTATGTAGGCTATCACGAATAATTCGTAAACAACTACTCATTCGTAGAGGTCTTCCATGTGAGATCGGTATTTTCGCGTGGATAAAATCTTTCCCAGAAGAACAGATGCAAATTCGAATGGGCTTTTGGAATTTTTATGGCTTGGTAGTCGCCGTAAGGACAATAGACATAGTGGGCTACACCTCTGTGCAAAATTCTTCTCAAATAATCAGGTAAAATCTTGAATATTTGACCGTTTACACAGCGAATGCTTTTTGGCGCTGTTTTCGTAAAGTAGTAGACTTTTCATGACTTTTTTAGGCTAACGTCCATGGCTTGCACATTAGCTTGTCGAATATATCCTTAACTCTGCAAAAAGTAGTACTACGGACCCAAATTTGCTGGCCAGAAGCCAAGTGGATCCGTTTGACGCGCAATTTTCAATGGATCCACTCAACGGATCCGCTCATGCTTTTGTATATTCAGGTTTCATGCTGGTAGCGTGCGCTGTGCAAAATTTGGGCTCAGGACGTTGGCTGGAACACGCTCTACGAATTTCGTGACAGACAGAGATTCACACACACACACAGACAGACAAACGTAAACAACCCTTAGCCCGTTATTATTATAGAAAGATAGCCTACTTCTATGTCTTGGGCGAACTTAATGTGTTTATTGCACATAGAGTGTTAATTTCATAATGCCATCATTAATAAAACTGTTGACTAAAAATGGGTCACTGTTGAATAAGGAAGAGATTGAAATCACAGTAATAGGTATGCTATAAAAATCTCTGTAAAACCGTTGAACACGTGGATGATACAGTGCTGGACATCATTATAAAGACACTCTAAAAATCGTCGTAATTTGCGTTCTTGTTGATGAATCTGTCTGAAACTTTGCTGTTTGGTGCGCATGTCAACCTACCATAATGCCTCAAAAAGGCTTCCAATTTTGTTGAGTTCAAACGGAGAAAAAAGAAAAATTCGAAAAACCCTCTACCGAAAGCTGGACAAAATTATAAAGACATCTTTTTTTTTGAACACCATCGCATCCGCTGACTTCAAAACTTTTTTGTACAGTTACATACTAAATTATGAAACATTTGCAACATATGCGACCTGTCATCCATCTCAAAGGTAGATATTCACTGCATTTTTTGCTTGTAAGAGCATCAAACGTCAATCTGCTTCAACAAACCGCTGGTTTAAAGAGTTGTCAAGCTCCTGTTCATCCCAGATGGAGTCCACTGAGCATTTTCGATAAGTGAGTTAAAAAGCGCTTTTGTAAACTCTGCGCAGTCGCTGATATGGAAGGACGGACTCCAACCTTAACATAAGTTTGTCACGCTTTCAGACCACAAAACTCTTTTTTCAAGCAACAGAAATTACTGTAATGTAGCCATTACGTCGGCTGTGCAACAGTAAACTTGTGTGCATAGTTGAGAAGAAATTTCGAAGTTGGCATACTGGGTTAGCCGCGGTTGTCATCTATTGAATGTTGAGTGGAGCACCCTGCATAATCATAGCTAACTCAGATCACGAGATAGAACAGGAGACCGTTCAGGAATAAAATCTTAGCTAGTGTCATTCTTAGGGTAGAACTTGACGTGAAACAGAGAGAAAATGGTGAGAATTATGATTATTTCGAACCTATTGCTTGCAGAGAATTTTCGTGGAAAGTATTTCAGGTCTAAACCGCTACCGCATTATTACGGAAAATCTGAAATTTGTTGCGAAAGCTGCATCACCATGTAAGTAATGTAATAGATCAAGTTCAGCGCTTTATGGACATTGCAAACTGAATTTTATAGTTAAAAACATGACAAGCTTATGTTGAAGTTGACGTCTGTCCGTCCATATCAGAGTTTACGAAAGCGCTTTTTACCTCATTTACCCAGAAGGGTCAGTGGACTCCATGACTGTCATTTGAAATGAACAAGAGCTTGAAAACTCCTCAAACCAGTTGTTTGTTGAAGCAGATTGATTTTTGGTGCTCTTGAAAAGTAAAAATACTGTGAACATTTCTTTTTGAAAAGGATGACAGGTCGCATCTGTTAAAGAATTTTCAAAGTCAGAAGACGCGATGGTGTAAGAAAAAAAACAGGTGTCTTTACAATTTTGTCCAGCTTTCGGCAGGGGTTTCTCGAATTTTTCTATTTTTCTCTGTTCGAACCAGGGTCAAGCGTGATGCGACTGTCGCAACGGGGGTCGTAAAGAGGTACCTAAGGTGGGGGGGGGGAAGGGTCGTAAGAGAAGGCAGTTAGGCTAAAATACCTTAAGCTTAAAAGGGAATCAAAAGCAGATAATTAGTTATGTTCTTTGCAATAAATCTATAAAAAAGTGGAAATCAGAATAAAAAAGATAAAAAATCTGTAGCAAAACACTTTTGAAGGATGTATGATTTGATATAAATGCTAAATGTACCGATTTCCCTAGAAATCTTGCTTCTGAAGTTCTCCTGAAGTCTCACACACTCGACAAAAGCGAACATCTTTACCAGCTGTGACCATCATAAATTTCTAAATTTTTTTGTAATGCTTTTCACGGGCCCATATGATTTATCTGTACTTTGGAGATGCTCTGCTACATCAATGCAAGATTTGGTGTTATTTTGCCAACTGTGGATTTTCTTACAATTTTATGTATGGTAGCAAAAAATCAGGAAAGGGGGGTCGTATCTGGGTCGCATCTAAATTTTTCGAGGTTATTGCTCCTTAAGAGCTGAAACTTTTTCTATGGATAGCCTGGGCGCTATATTACAGAACCTGTGCTTTGCAGCCTCTCAATCTTTTTCTGGCCTTAGTTACGAATTTTCAAACTACTGTGCTCATGCACGTTTTTGACGTCGTTCTGGACGGCGCTCAAGCGGTTTTTTTTTCGCGGGAAAAACTGTGGAAGAGGTAGGAAGTAAGCTTCTTAGTTGAAAACATCTTTTGTTGTTCAAGAATGTCATTTTCTCTCCTTGCAAAAATTTGTGTCGCCTACGGGAATCGAATTTGCTGTTCTGAAGTATGCCTGAAAATTCGAAAAAAAAACTTGCAGATTCTCAAACATTATTGAAGGTGTGTGTGTGTGCTACAGATGCTGGACGCACCCATTGGCCTAGAAATTCTGCTTCCGAAACCTCAATGAAGTTCTCACGCAGGTGTTTTTTGAGATTGACATTCGTTTATGCAGTTTACCGCGAGGAATGTGGGCAGGGGAGGTAAGGGGGATAAATGGGAGAGGATGGGGGGAGGGGAGAAGGGGGGAGGGTCGTACGGATGGGTACCTTTAAGGGGGGGGGGTCGTAAATGAGGGTCCCGGATCGCATCAACATGCTTGACCCTGGTTCGAACTCAACAAAATTGGAAGCCATTTTGAGATGTTATGGTAGGTTGACATGCGCATTACACAGCAAAGTTCGAAACAGATTCATCAACAAGAACGCAAATTACGACGATTTCTGGAGTATTCTTATAATTATGTCCACTGTATGCTACTTTTTTTGCCGATTTATGGAAAAGTACCGATGTTTTTACCGTTATCCTACAATTTAAAGCAATCGATGACTCGCTAACATTGTAAGTAAGCTTTGCAATACAGTTTCTAAAGGATTACAGAGCTATTGACGCGAAAGTTATTGCAGATCAAGCGCTTGATACTTTTTGGGGACCCTGATATGCATGTTACCAGTATCAAGTATAACTGGTTGTCCACCCTATCTTCGGGAGATGCGACTGATAGTAGAAATTAGAATCGCTTTCTAAATAATTATTTTTCAAGTTACTAGCTAGAAAAATCTAGAACTTGCTTGAAAATGTTCGAAATGGTTTTCGTTGGCAGTTGCACGCTTCTCGGTTTGTTGCCGGTGCTTTGAAAAAGTTTATGTTTTTGCCCGTACTGCGTTGCCAGAGTTCGCCCTTTGTGAAGCTGGGGGGGGGGGGGGGGGAGAGGAGAGAGAAAAATGCGAGTACCGGAAGATGTCCCTAGCGAAAAGCCGGAAAAATTTTGCAGGCTTATCAAAGTTTCCTGCTTGTCTGCATCTTCCTCAAAGAAATTACATCTGGCTCCATATATTAGATTGCTTTACAGTGAATAGAATGACCATAATAAAGTAGAAACACTCTTTGCCTCGGAGGTAATACATATGCGTATAAATAACAACATGCATGAGAGCTCCAATGCATTGTATAGGAGCAAGTGCAAACATTAACTACCCGATGAAAATTATCACATATTAACCCGTCGATGAGTGGACTCCGTATCAATTCAAGATGCAGAGGTGAGACATTCACATATTCGAAAAATGGAATGAGCGGAACAGCTGTGTGGAGCAGTTCGTACTGACGGCTCAAATACGACTTGGAACTTTTCCTGACTAACTTCTTCTTCAACTCGATAAAGGAGCACAATGTTTTCTCCATTTAAGAGCTTTTGCGTTGTGATAAACTCATGGTAAAGGAACTGAAAAAAGGATGTAAAACACAAGTGGAGAAGCATTGACAAAGTAGATCGCTTACATCCATCTTTGGAGGTTTTTTGAGGGCTGCATCCACAATAGTGGTGTTTTCCTTTGTGCGCAATCCTTGACGGACGAGCGGATTTATACCAAGCACTTTTACATCTTCGCTTATCGATATCTACAAAATAAGTATAGGATAAATGCCATTGACTCTCATTGAAATTTGATGCAAACTTACATTGCTGCTATAGAGGCATGATCCTAGCCTATTTTCCTCTATCCAGTAAGTTATGGCATCGTTGTATTTCTGAGAAATAAAAGTGAAAATTGAAAAACTATAAGAGCATGCAGAACTCATACTTACTTTTACCAATTTCATTTTCTTCTTTTGCACATCTTTTTCTTTAGGCATGGTAAGATTTGGTCGATGTACTAGGCAAGTGCAGAAGTTTTCAGCAACATAAGCGTCATAACAGGATCTGGAAACCGATTAAATGATTCGACGCTTTGTGCGTTTTGCATCAAGGTGGTACTCTGAAGCTGGTATCATTTTTGTAATTAGATGCAAAGCTGAAGCCGTATACACTTGTCCACACGTGTATGCGTGCGTTGGGACACAGGCAAAATTTATAATGAATATAGATTTGAAAGCATGCCAAAATCTGAAGAATTCCTAAAATTTATTGAAGAGCCTTCAGCTACGCCCTTTCAAGAAGATTCCCCTCTTTCCACCTAAATAACTTCTCAAGCAGCTACCGGAGCCGCTGCACTTAAAGTCGTTTGACGGAAGAAGGCGCATTGCCAGCTTAGTCAACGACTGAATTTGTGGTTTGCGCCTTATCCAGGGCGCGGCACGAGGTGGCTAGATGAAAATGGAAAAAACGAAGTCCCTCTTGACTTTTGGGAATTTTTACGAAGTCCCCTTTGACCCTCAACCAAATTTCCTCTAAAAACCTGAAAAATTCCCCAAAATCCCCCAAAAAACGAAACGTCGACTAGAAAAAAAAGGTCGCCGTCGCCAATTTTCCGTGTCTCTTCGGTCACAAAAACGAAACCCCCTTTGCTTTTCGTCCCAAAAACGATATCCAGCTTGCTTGTAAGCCACCTCGTGCCGAGCCCTGGCCTTATCCATCCCTGTGGTGTATTACCTTGGAAACTAGGTTTTGCAACTCTCTTCATAACTCTACTCTCTTTGGATGTTGCGCACTCAAACTTTGATAAAATACAGAATGTTATGTTTTCTACAACTATGCGCAAACTGTGTGAAGTTTGAAAACGAATAAGAGAAAAAAACTAATAACTTCAGAGATTTTTGGGGCTTCAAACTAAGATGAATCCGTTAGCAACCTAGACCATGAGAAATGATCTGAAAATTTGTGCAAATTATCACTTGAAATTAATTTAATTAACTCAACAAAAAGGAATGAAATTTGAAGATAACTCGAGATTTGACACCCTCACAAAGTTTGACAAGATGCAATACGCAAAACTGCTAAGGAGTCGAAACCTCAAAAGTCGCCGAGACTTCGCATAGTGAGGTTATTTGACCTATCAAACGCGAATAACCATTTGTTGAATCAACGCCATTTTTCTTGATCAGGGTGAGAGCATTAACCGTATACCTACAATAATCTTACAAAAAAGCCCTTATCATGCAATTTTAATATTGTTTTCGTGATCAGCATGTCAAATAATCCCGATACGCCGAGTTTTAGGCCAAACTCATGAAATTTTAGAATTTTTCTTCTTGCACCATGTAACTACCGTGATCCTGACTGGGATTTCAGGATTTGGCAGGAGTCCAGTCATAGTGGCAAAATTTGAGTGCGTAATGTTGAAAAAAAAGAGTTATGGAAGCAGTTGCAAAACTTGGTTTCCAACTTAGTAACATCGCGTTTGCCTCCCCATTGTCCACAATCCTCCGGCAATAGACCTTCATGACACTTATACAGGATGTCCTAAAACTGTGTATACAATTTTTGATCATTAATATCTCCCTTCCCTAGAAGTCTTTTGCCTGCCTTCAGGTAAACTTTGTAGAGCAGGCTTCAACTTATATTCACAGTATGGAGCGAATCAACTATCTTCGTTCACTACTGTAGGATTACGGTATGAACTTTAAGAAGGGTTTTGAGCATTCCGCCTTAGAGTAAACCAAACAATCTGTAAACTCTTACACTAGGTTAATTAAAGTCGCTTAAACCAAATATGAACTTTGCATTTGACCGCGATGCTTCCTTTATGACTTATGGCCCGTAAACCGTGATAGCTGTTTTTACTATGCTCCCTAAAATTGCAGTCTCACCCTTTGAAAAGCTTTACAAACTCCTAAAAAGTTGAGTAATAGAATCAGCGCATGTAAAATCCCAGATACACCACTATTCAGAATTTTTGGGAACTTTCTTTAAAACACGGCTAATCCACAATAATGCTGTAAGCCAAGAGTTCACACTGTAATCCTATAGTATCGAATAGAGATTGATGGTTCGCTTTATACTGCAAGTCTAAGTTGAAGCCAGCTCTACAAAATGGTACCTTAAAGGCAGTGTCCGGGCAATCGATTTTGAGATTTTGTGTTTACCCGGACCTATTCGCTACGCTGAATCCGAAGATGCACATTGGAGAGCGCGAAAACGGCGAAAAACGGCTCTAACGTAGAAGGGTAATCAGCAGGTGGGCGGGGTCCTCCCCACTGTGAATTCACACTTCCAGCTTCCGGAGCAGTCTTTTCGTTTCCGCTAGCCGTCCTGACACCGCCACCGGCCAAGTGCGAACGATTGACTTGAATTCGAAATTCTGCGGCGCCAGGCGGCTGCCTGAGTAACACGCCTTAAAAACCACCCTAAAAGGGTTTTTTGGCAAGATTTTCTCAGTTTTTGTTCGTATCAAATCGTTTTTTACTGTTGCCGGAAAATCAATGACGAGCCTAAGCAGGTTTCTTTACCTGATATCAAAAGTGAGAAGGAAAATGTAACATGACTGATTGGCTATGTACAATAAACGACTCTGGGGCCTACCTGTTCGAGGGTATCTCATCAAAAAGACTGATTCCACGACCTTCATCACGAGTAGCAGGTCTATCAGCACCAAGCCGCATTAGCGCGATATCTTTTAGAGTCTGATGTATATCGAAATTGCTGGAAAATTATGCATATAAAAAATTCTGGTCTAGTTTGGGTTTGTAAATACCTTGTAAGCTTCCATTTATTTGCCAGAAAATTTCCGTACTCTTTCGGATAGAGTGTTTTAAAATTACTTGGCAGTCGAATAGCCATGAGAGGCATTCGTTCTTCAATTCTACCTGTGTATGAATATTGAACCAATCCTATACGATTTCCATGATCACCCATAATGACGCTGACACTGTTGTCCAAAGCACCTATACAAAAGATTAAGCACTAATACGATTTTTCTTGGTGATCACCGTTCACGAAGAGATCCTCAAGACTGGATTTGACAAATTCGTCCATCGTTTCAATCAGAAGACCGGCTTCGTGGGTTAGACTGAAACGATTCTACTTTTGCGAACAAATTGATGCACATGTGGTTTTTTCGCGGAAGCAGTATCATTGGCTCTAAGATATATAACGAAGCTGAGAGGGAGCAGCATAGCTTCGCGGTCTTCGATGGTAAGAGAGTTTGACAATTTTACAATTTAATTAACAGAAGTTCTCAATGCTTCCCCCTATATAAATCTGTGAGCCTATCATACCAGCACATTAAAAAAGTCACATGCTCGTAATCAGAGGTGCGATAGTCGGAGCCGAGTCTCCGCCTACCTTCACTTTTGAGCTGGTACGGGGTGACCACCTTCACTTTTGGGTTTGAAAAAAATTTTTTGCTGAAGCTTAAAAGAAGGAAAATAAGAAAAAGGAACGCAAAAGAAAGTATTGAGAGCATATATCTATGTAGTAAGTCGATCTAGGTAGTAACCGCCGAGAACCAGAATTTCGAATGATAAAATAGCGAAAAAATCATGCGAAATTTCCACTGTTATAAATCCGGTGGTTAAAGATGTCAGCAATTGCGACTTCATAGGTTTTAAAGCGCAAGTGTTGTTCTACCAGACAGTGAAAGAATCGGGTCGATCTGAGCAGTGACCGCAGAGAACGAGGATTTTGAAAAATTAAGCGATTTTAGGTTACTTACAGGGGAAGGATACTTGGATGCCGTAGCCATTCATAATGATTTGTATACAAAAAAATGCGCTTTTGAATGCTGGTTCGTAGACTGTCTTTCATATCTGCGAAACGATAATCTGAATGGAGTTATGATTTTTTTTCATTAAAAAAATTGCGTTCCTGCGGAGGGTCAAAATCATCAATAAAAAAATTTTATCTCCTTTCCAAATGCTGAGTATGATCCAGATATTCTAAATAAATATTACTACGTCTAAAATTTTCTTCAGTAGCATCAAACGGTAGGCTAGGTCAAATCTGGTGATTTTTACTATCCAAAAGTAGGCTAAATTTTCAAGGAAAAAAGTCCATAACTTTCTTCAAAAGATAGTTTCGCAGATTTCGAGCACAGATTCAGAATCTGCATTCGAAGGCGCATTTTTTGTTATACAAATCACTAGGAATGGTCGCGGCATCCAACTATCCTTCCCTTGTTAGTGACAGCTGACGTTCAGACTCCTATAAATCTGGAATGTGAAAGTGTGCAATGTTGCGACTTCATATGTTTTGTAGAGTAAGAGTTGCTCTATCGGACTATGCCTTACCTGTGCCCATCCATCAAGATAACGCCGAGATTCAGGCTCTTAAAAAAACAGGTGAAAAACCGCTTTTTGAACTTCAACAGCGTCGCAATTGCTGACATATTCAACCGCAAGATTTATAAAAGTGGAAATTTCGCATAATTTATCGTTATTTTGTTATTCAAAATTCTGGTTCTCGGCGGTTACTGCCTGGATCGACCTATTTTTTTCGCAGTGCGCTGTAACAAAATTTACTTGATAAAATCTGTGAAGTCTCGCTGACTCTCACTTCAAAATACGCCATTTACTAAACACGTTTGTTTTAAATATACATATATGCCGCCTATACATAAAAATATGCCTTCAATAATATTTTTTGCGTTTGTTTTGCTTATTTTCCGCGCACTGTCGGCAACGACCTGGAAGGATAGGTAGTCGACGTTAACGCCGCCCCCCCCCCCCCCCCCGGTCGACGTTTTTGGGAGGTGAGTGTCCGGCACTACCACCTTCACTTTTGGCCGGCCAGTGGTAGCTGGAACCACCTTCACTTTTGGGGGGCCCGGCTCCACCTATCGCACCTCTGCTCGTAATTCCTTTATTTTCTTTTCTTGTGACATCACTGTCAGGAAAGATTGCCATCTTATTCATTACAATCTTCAAAGTCAAGGTTTCTCCTTTTTTTTAGGTAATTCTCTTTCTCTTCAAATCAAAACGTTACCTAGAACTAGCCGAATTGCATGCAGAAAAGTATTCCAAGAAAAGCTCTGAGAAGTGGTCGAATTCTAAGCAAATTTGCTTCTAAAACTATAGCTAGCAAAAAATTGAGAAAGATAGAATCTAATGGGAATCGCCGTCCATTTCGAGGAACTTTGATTGTCGAAAAGAGAAAAAATCCGATTGATCTGAGTTATCTCGACCACACAACACCTTTTGCATCAAAAGTTAATAAGTGTAATAGCACTCACGTTGTTATGAAGGTGAATCCGAAATGGCATATGCTTTTGTACCTATTGGCAAATCGACGCCATAAATCAACAAACTCCTGCTGAATCTGTCCACCGTCTTTGCAGACACTGTATGTCCAGTTCTAAAACAGTGATTTGAAGTAGAAGCAAGTTAGTGGTAAAAAACTGAGACAAAAAGAGAGAGAGAAGGATGTGAAGATTGATTAAAAGAATTAGAATGACTCAGGAATACGTGGTAAAATCTGACTAGCTATTCGTAATGTGTGCACCTAATACCTTAAGTTTGAGTTTGTAGGTTACTGCGGGAACTTAGGCCAGCCCAAAAATAAACTAAATATTGTCTTTGTGGATAGAGAGAGGTGATATCTTTACTATAAAGCTGAATGTTTTTTGAATTAGGTTGTTACATAAATCTCGTTACACTCTAATTTCTTACGACGATAAGTCGTGCTTTACGAACTTAGTAGAGCTTTAAAGTGCCATATGATAGAGCAAAGCAAGCTCTACAAGATAATATGCAAAAGTTCACACCAGTTTCGACCCACCGTAAGTTTGCATGCGAAATGTGAGTCGCACTCAAGACTCAAAAAATTAGGAAAGATTCATATTTTTGTTCAAAGAAAATCGTCCGCATCTCCACTCTGCTCACACAGATTGCACACCACATAAAACACTCATATGTATAGAGGCCTGCAGGATCGCGAGAATCGGACGTGCGTACGGCCATTGCGCCGCGCACGTCTGATGTCACTAAGGCAGGTGCCAGACTTATCCGCTTCTACCGGTTCGTTCGGTTCATAGGTCAAGTCACTACACGTTCCAACAGAAAAGGTGGTGAACCGAATGAACCTGTTGAATAGAATTAGTCTGGCACCTACCTGAGTCGCTGGACGCGCATCTGACGTGCGCGGCGCAATGGCTGTACGCACGTCCGACTCTCGCGATCCTGCAAGCCACTATACCGTTGCTGTATTTTCCCCTCATCTAGAAACCGAGTAATCGAAAAATAATGTTCATACAAAACGAAGCTGTGCTATCTCTATTCATGTAGTTGTATAGTATAAGAGGGAAGTAAATTTAGAAGATGCTCAGAAGTATAGCCGTAAATTTTCAGCTTTCCAAGAGCCCTAGTTTTCGAAAAATCCGAATTTAGCTTTTCTCACTTGGATGTTCAATGCTAGATTCGGCATTTTTTTTTGAAAATTAGGGCTCGTAGAAAGCTGAAAATTTACGGCTATACTTTTGAGGGCAGTGTTATGCAATAACATGAGTGGAAAAAGTACAGCTTCGTTTTTGTATGAACATAAATTTTCGTTTTCTCGATTTCTAGATGAGGGGGAAATACAGCAACGGTACCTAAAAGTTTCTGATGTGGTCTGCAGTCTGTATGAACAAATTGGAGATGCGGACGCTTTGTTTGAACAAAGACATGATTTCTCCAATTCTCTGAGCCTTCAGTACCACTCAGAATTTGGATATAAGCTTACGATGAGTCTAAGTTGGTGCAAATTTTTGCAGACTATTTTGTAGAGCTTGCTTTGCTCTATCGAATGGCACCCTGAAGCCCCATTAAGATTATGAGGTTCACGAATTATCGTCGTAAGAATTTAGAGTGTAACAAGACTTATGTAACAACTCGATATGTATGTGTGTCTGTGTGTCTGTACATATGCTCCGAATAGAATTTTTTATCTCTGAACCGATCCGAACTAAACTTTATACACATACATACACTTCATGGCGGGGCGGGGTACTTTTCGTTATCGATCGATTCAATTATATCGATTTTTATCGATTTTTTTGCAAAGTTTGACCTCCGGGGCTGGGAGTAGGCGCAGGAGGTAATCGAGCATGCTGATTACAAATTCAGTAGTGGTTTTTTGAATTATCAGTTACTTTTATCGAATTCATCGATTTTTTGCAAAGTTTAAGCTACGGCTTGAGTTGGCAAAGGGGAGGAAGCATGCTAATTCTAACACAGCGGGAATAGGGAATTGGTATGTAGAAGTGGGCACAAGGAAAGGTGGTACAAGGACAGGGATAAGACTCTTATCATAGTGTTTGAAAAGGGCCGAGGGGAGCCGGGTAAGCCAGTTAGTGTATTATTAGGTTGATGCAAAAGTAATGCGCGTTTTTCTGATCCTTGTTTCAGAACAACTGTTTTCAAGTTTTCTTCTTTGAAAAAAACTTAGCATATTATCAAGAAACTCTTTTCATGTTCTATATAACAGTGGTTGAATCTGGCTTCTAGCCTGATTCTTTAAAAAATTATAAAGCTTCACACAATCGCACTAAGAACCAGATTTTCATTGCATATATTTTTTTCCAGAATTCAAGCGCGATTGAAGGCATTCTTTTGATAAATTAACTATTATTATGATAGAAGCTGTCTACATTATGCACACCTTTCTAGTCTTTTGTGGTCTTTTTGGTCATTCTGTGGCCCATAAATTTTTTCAAAGGAGGCAATCGCCAAACCCTCGCTCATTTCTATAAGCGTAAGGTGGCCTCCTGCTGACAGGTTTTGCAAAAATGTCTAGCTGCCTGTTTAGTACTCAGAAAATCAAAAACACTCACATTTCGGGACCCTGAGGCCTAAGAAAAATGTAGAAAAAAACCGACAATTTTTTTTATTTTCGCAAATTTTCTTTGCTTGAGCCCCCTCAATCTTTTTTGTACTACTGGCTTGCGACTCAAGATAGGCTACTTACAGTGGCTTCATTTCATATGATCATGTGTATCATTGCACACACAGTTCACCTTTGGCGTCCCCATCCTGGATTCGTGGGAGAAACAAGCCTTCAGGTAAGTGTTTCCAAGGTGTTCTTAGCATTTGCTTTCCTTTTTAGTTATTAGTCAACTCAAATTGATGTAATTGATAACAATCGGTAAGTCTCTTGCGTTTTTGCGATTGCAGATCCAGGATGAGGACGCCAAAGTGGACTGTGTGTGTAGTGGCACACATGATCATATGAAATGAAGCGACTGTATCATTTATACTGCAAATTTTGGAGGGAGTTATGATCAGTTAAAAACGAGGTTTTAGAAAAAACTCTTTTTGCTTATCAGTCGATATTCTTCTGCCCGTTTGTGGTTTAAGTAAGGTGGATGTACGTGCATGTATTGCTGAGGGATTGCTGCTTCTGATCGTTTTTATCGCATTGAAAAAGTAGATTATTTGTTATAGCATGTCAAAGTGAGAGCTCACAAAACGTGCATTACTATTGCAACATTCTAATATTAGGTTGGCGGGAGAAGTTATGCAACTTTTTCTATAACTTTTGTCTTTTTGACCGTAGAGCATTCATTTTCTAGCAATATAAGAATTGTGATGTAAACTGCAAATACGGATATTTTTGGCGGATTTTGCCATCTTATTCAAGGGTTAGGGTAGGTTTACAGTGCAATGGGAAATTTTTTATGCGTCAAATTTTGCTCAAACTTGGCCTATGGGAGTTACCCGATATGCTGATCATAAAAATGAGACCCCTTTCGCATGAAAAGGCCTCTTTCGTAAGATCAAAAAAATGAATGTTATCTTAGCGATAAATGGATATGATATTCGTGTTCACCGTATTGGATTGCGCTGTTGTGCAAAAATTGAGCAAACTCTGAGGTTTGGCAGCTTAGTCATTGTCAGATTGCTCTCAAAACTTGACGCATTTAACTTGTTCTCTCCAAGCGGACTCATCTTAGTTTGTCTTTAATTTTTCACCGACAACTCCTATCTACAAACTGCCTATATTTGCTTTTTGATATGTTTGATTTAGGTATTGTACGGCTTCATGTTTGCCAAAAAACTGTGGAACCTCGATTTTCAAAGGTTTTCGAAAAATGATCAAATTTTCTCTATTACGTTACCATAAATCAAACGCGCGGCTTGCAGATTAGTAGACTAGATTTTTTTGAGATAATTTTCTCAGTTTTGTAGACTAAACATTGTGTTTTTGCAACTAATGTATCGACAGCGATTAGTCGACTTTGCAGAGGAGAGCACTCATTTTGAAGGAAAAGAGATTCCTTACTAAATGAAAGAATCGTTTTTTGGAAAACTCGAAGACGATAGAAAGAATAGAGGGACGAAATTGAAGGCAGGCATCAGAAGAGTAATGTTCCAAAAAAAGCTGAACTTGCGAAATATTTTGTAAGTTATGAGCAAAGTGTTGAAAGTAAGATGAAACAATTTGTGGGAGCGAAAAGGAAAATCAGACGGCGAGATGGAAGTGCTCGAAGCTACGATTGGATGATATGATGAGTCGAGAAGTTATTGCTTGCTATTCATCAGGTATCTCTTCACTTCTTTGATTCTATGTCTCGACAACTGAAAGCGAGCTAAATGTTGGCTTTGGTTAGCATTTCAGATCTGAGCTGTGAAGCTCTACTGAGCCTCCAAGCAGAGATATATGTTTGAATCTAAGGTTTTCACGTCCTTCACAGCTCCAAAAAACTATTTTTGAGTCCTCCTCCACGCGCTCAATGCCAACTTTCCAATAATCGATATTTTACTTATCGCAGGTGAAAAAAGCTGAATGTTGTTGATCCCTGTTTGTTTTTGCTTCACAGGTTATGCAACATCAAACACATCACTTGTATCTATGCGTGAAATGATGTCGCTTGTAGACTAGATAGCTAAGAGAAGTTTTGGGCTCCGAGAAGAATTTTAGGAAGTAATACAATTTCTGACAAGGAAAGGAAGGTTGGTCGAAGTGGCCTTTTGAGATAAAATTCACATCGTTTTGTAGAGCTTGGGACGCTAATTTCAAATTTACCTTTGCTATCTGCTGCGGGCTTCTGGGCGAGGAGCTATAAAGGTTTTTGTGAGTAAAAATCTGAACGCAAGAGCAAGCTAAAATCAGACGTAACATTTTTTATAGGGCGAAATTGGTAGTGGGGTCACTTGGTGCAACAAATAATCTTGGTTTAGATAAACCAACTGCTTCTGCCTCATTTGAGCGCTGGGAAAAGGTTACGACTGATTTTGCCCTACTCTTGCATTCAGATCTTTACTCACAAAAACCTTCATAACTGCTCGCCCAGGAGCCCGCAGCAGATAGCAAAGGTAGATTTGAAATCAGCGTCTTAAGCTCTACAAAACAGTGTACATCTCATCTCAAAAGGCCGCTTCGACCAACCTTCCTTCCTTTGTGAGAATGAAAGCGTGCATATGTTAGTCCACACCCTTACCCAATATGACCTAATTTTACGAGTACAAGACACACATGTTTTTACTCGACCAGCGTGAACACATTAAATATAGCCATCAGTGGGCCACTCTACTTTGCTGTTTCTTACCTTAAAGAATTGCGTGCGAGAGAGAATCATTTCGCGAAGCACAGTCTTGTAGCCGAGTTCTCTTTTTAAAAAAGGAAGAATATGCGTCCTGTGCTCGTAAAATTAGGGTAGAGCTTTATATGAAACACCTTATTCTAAGGGTTCTTTCATACTACGCCGCCGCACGCCGCTTGGACGCTGCTAAAGTTCCTAACGACTCTTACTCAAACCAGAATACATTTGGAAACTTGTGCTCTGAGGCTTAGAATCCCGAAAGAGGAATCTTGTAATCTTCGAAATCGAAAAAAGCAAGAGAAGCGCTTCCGAATGGTATGTATTCTGCTGCATTAAGTGCAATGCTCTTAGAAAATAGTAGCGCTGAACCCAAGTCATAATCGGAACTTTCGGAATCCTGTTTAAATACACAAATGCAATAAACGTTAGTAAATATCATTTAAAGTGTCCAAAAATGAAGACTATTTTTACAAAGTAAATAGACGTTACCGCTTTGAAATAATGAATATCAAATTTTTCGACTTATGCTGGAAGCCTACAAATATAAAAACCTAAAAGGAAAAAGAAAAGCTGCATCGAATGATATTCTATTGCTCGCTGTTTGATGTTCCTCAAGATTTAGGGTGATCAAATATGAATTTGAGGCAATAAAAAAATAACTGCGAAAATTTTTGAAAGCAGCTACAGATGAAAACTGCATCATACTACGTTTTGTTTACTCTATCCAACTTTTATCATAGCTCTAGCAAAAAACAAGAATTTTGAAAAAGTTGAAATAAGAGTAGATAAAATTGGTATAAAGATGAGTCCGAAACGGGATGAACTAGTAAAGCACACAAATTTTTTGAGACAACTAACTTTGTGCCTTACGTTTTCGAGCTAAATGAAGACCGAGGACTTGGTCTGTGTCAAAAAAAATCTCAACATGTATATTTGCTTACAATGACTGAAATGCGCTTTTCCAGACTCTAAATGACTGACCTGGTAGAGAGCGAGATAGTAGGGACGATAGTAATGATCTGCTGGAGGCGTTGTGAATCCAAACTGAAATTCTTGCGGCGGATAATGGAAGATCCCTCGACCGGCTACGGCGATGTCGTCGTTGAACATTGTGCGACAGCCGTACTCTAAATTTTATATTGCCCTTTTTTCAGCCTTGCAGCTTACAACTTATGCTGCAAGATGCTTATCAAGATTCCTTAGCAAAAGTATACCGAACTTTACAGAAGAATTTTGATGGCTCATGTCACTAACAGATTCTTTAACCGGGTGATACACAGTAGCATCAGCGGTCCAAAACATACACTATTAGCTCCTAAGGAAATTTGTAAATGCTCTCCGTTTTACTGGTAATGCCACCAACTCTAACGGTTTAAAAGCAGTGTCCGAACAAAAACTCGATTTAAGATTTCGTGCCTATACGGGTCTACTCGCATTGTTGAATCCGAAAATCCACACTGGAAAGCGCGAAAACGACAAAAAAGGGCTCTACGCAGGAGGGAAACAGCAAGTGGGCGGGGTCCTTCCCACTGTGAATTCACGCTCCCAGCTTCCGGAGCTTTCCTCGATTCCGCTAGCCGTCCCAACATCGCTACCGGCCAAGTGCGTGACTTGAAAGCGGAAGCGAGAAGATCGCTCCGGAAGTTGAGAGCGTGAATTTACAGTGGGGAGGACCCCTTCCACTTGCTGATCTCCCTCCTGCGTTAGAGCTCTTTTTCGCTGTTTCGCGCTTTCCAATGTGCATCTTCGGATTCAGCCTAGCGAATAGGCCCGGTAAGCACAAAATCTCAAAATTGAGTTTTTGCCCGGACACTGCCTTTAAGGCTCCCGCCAGATGCCGAAGCCACGCCGACGCTGCGCCGGCATTGAGCCAGCGCCGAGCTAGCGCCGAGCTGTCCGGCGCTGTTTCGATCGATATGCGTGCATTTCATTCGGGGCGGGGCTAATTGACCCTGTGCTGGCAAAGCGCAACCAGAGTTATTGACAGAGATTTCGATCAATAGTCGGTGCGTTTACCTGGCTGAGAATTAGGTCAGCTTTCGTGGCTTCGGCACTCTAGCGGGAGCCCCAGTTCCGCGCGGTGATCTTGAACCCTGCGCCGCGTCTGCGAAGCATCGGAAGACTTTGTCAGGCTCTGATCCGTCACCGACTGCCCCTCATTTCCAAATAGTTTTTTCTTTTGCTGATCATTTCTTTTTTCTTTGGATTTGCTTGTATACTCAGATAATCGCAGGGAGAAGGCGGTCCGCAAACTCGCGCTTTTCTGCAGGCGGTCAGCAGAATTTTGGGGCGTGACCAAACCTTCAGCGGGCGGCACTTCCTTTACGGTCGCATATTCTGCCAGCGGGCAACAATACAGCATTTCCCGCAAGCGCTCGGCAAATAATTTCTTTCAGCGGGCGCTGGCTAAACTTTCAGCAAGCACTAGGACTCTTTTAACGCAGTTTCGGGCGTACGCCGAGTAAAGATGAGACTCTATGTAGCAGAGGTGGTATCAATGGTTTCATTACTCAAGTTTGAAGTACCTTCTTTCAGCGGAAGGTACCTGAGGGCTGTGCGGTCCTTTACAAAAGACCGTGCGGCCCTCAATATTTTTGCATATTCTCGCGGAAAGTCAGCAAGAATGCGGCCACTGCGCCGCAACTATTCTATAGAAAAACCACAATACTTCTCCGAGCATTACTCTAAAAATTGGCCAACATTCTTTCAAATTTTTGCAAGCGGACCGCATGAAATCAGCGAACTATTTTTCCGGTGCCCGCTTGCTCAAAATTCGCATGGCCGCCTGCCCCCGGCGATTATCTGAGTAGGATATGGCAGTGTTTCTGAGCTATGCCTGTGCATGCCAATTTTTTCTACGACTGATGAAGGTACATGAGCTTCAAATTTTACAGCCAATGGCAAAACTGGTTATTGCCCGTATTAAATCTTCTCTTTATGTGTTCCAAACCAATGGAGAGAATACTGTTGAGAAAACTAAGTATGACTCAAAACTGCTGTGTGTTAGTCTCTGATACGTGAAATGAAGTTGAGTTTTGGTTAAGAAACTCACCTTACATTAGGTCTAATTACCGCTGCGGAAGTGATAGTCTAAGTAATCTAGAAGCTGCAGATCAACAAGAGAAGGACCAACCGATCAAAAGAATTTTTTGCTTTTACCTGTAAAATCTGCAGCCAATTTCTTCATTCCATTAGTCGGAAACGAAACTGTCATGCACACAGGGCGCAAAACACAGCCATTGTGAACAAGCAAGGTCAAGGAAATAAAGAGAAAAGAATAGTTTGAGGAAACTATCAGAAAAACGACGGCCAGACTTGAGCAATGGCCAGAGCGTTGCAAAATTCGCGGACGACGCGTCGCGGGCGAGGCAGCCGCGAGTGAATGGAGCCGCAGGGATTGAAGACACTGCCAATTACATAGATATAGGCCAATGCACGGTGGTGACGTTGTTAGAGCTTTTCCACACTCAGATAATCGCCGGAGGCAGGCGGCCATGCGAATTTTGAGCAGGTTCCAAGAAAATAGTTCACTGATTTCTTTCGGTCCGCTTACAGAAATTTGGAATAATTTTGGCTAATTTTTGCACGAACGCTCGAAAACAATCTCGGCTTTTTGACAGATTATTTGCGGCACAGTGGCCGCATTCTCGCGGACTTTCCTCGAGAATATGCAAAATTTGGGCCGCACGGTCCTTTGCGAAAAATCGCACTGCCCAGATTACCTTCCACTGAAAGAAGGTACCCCATACTCGGGTAAATAAACCATCGATGACACCTTTGCCACGCGGAGTCTCACCTGTGCTCGACGTAAGCCTGAAACTGCGTAGAAAGAGTCCGAGCGCTTGCTGAAATTTGGACCAGCGCTTGCTGAAAGAAATTATTTGCCGAGCGCTTGCAAAAAATGCTGTATTGCTGCCCGCTGTCAGAGTGTGCAACCGTAAAGGAAGTGCCGCCCGCTGAAGGTTTGGTCACGCCCCAAAATTCTGCTGACCGCCTGCAGAAAAGCGCCAGTTCGCGGACCGCCTGCCCCCGGCAATTATCTAAGCACATCACCTTTTCCTCAGCCTTTGCCAAAGCAATTATGGAAAGAGGGAAACTGCTTTTTCGCTTGCGCGCCATGCTGAGACAAGGTGGTGGTTGCAGAGTGGTTGGTTGCTGAATAGAGTATTGCTAAACAGCACTCTCTCACTCAGAACGTCAATGAGATCAAACTTGTTCTACACTCACTCTAGCGAAAGTATTCTAAAATGTGGTAAAGCACAAATTTAAACCTGTTATAGCCGTCTTCATTTCAATTGTCACCCAATGGGCGAATTGATTTTGATCTGGAGCAGGCTACCTGCGGTAGGGCACGGGATGTCGCGACTGCAGGAACATGCTGTCTTTGTGCGCATAGGACAAACCCAGCATGAACGTCGTCACTTGCTGGGCTAGTTTTTGTAGGGAATTAGGCATGATCTTGAGTAGGATGTACCTCGCTTTCTTGACAACGCGACATATTTCGGGGGTTAGAGGTAGCCTCAGGTCGAGCAAAATTTTTTTCGCTTGCCTGGGCTTATCCTACCCACTGATTCTGAAAATGCAGCTTGCAGAGCACGAAAACATCACAAACGGGCTATTCCAGGAGTCCCTGATTTTGAATTCGGATACCTGCCGTTGAAGTTAAGACGCAGAATCTTCGATTTATCTCGGTGGGCGGGGTACTCGGATTGTGGTGTTACTCTCCTATCTTCCAGAGCATTTTCTCGCTTCCGGTTCCACTGCGCCCGCGATTAGGCAGGGTGACATATTAAGGCGGCTACTTTTGGCGGCAGTGAAATCCCAAAACACCCAACCCTAATCCGAACAGTGTTTTTAAGACGGCCCAAGTACGATGAGGATGAGATAAGGAAAACTATTGCGTCTGTAAAGCGTTTTCTTTTGCAATCTTACATTCAGAAAATAAGGACATCTCTATCATGCGTGCGACGGTACGCAGCTTGTCTAGATGCCATTTAAACATCATCCCTATATTTTAGAATTATATATCTCCAGCACGTGTGTCTACACTCGTGCAAAAAAGGAAAATGTTGTAGATGCCTAATACTTTAAGCTAACCATTCTTCAATTTCTTGATACATCACTATTACCTACTTTCCTTCATAATCTTCCATAAGAAGGGCAGAGGAGTAGGATCCAGCTTCTTTGTTGTTGGTAAAATCCAATTTTTATTTATGTCGCCTGAGTCGTCGTGTTTCTTCTCTGCTAATGCCTCTGGAATATCGCCAGCCAGGATCGGTTCAAGATTAACCATCGAGTTGTCGCCAACCTGCAAATTTCAATCTTGTAAAGTTGCACAAAATTCAAACAAAGGTGGTACCTTGGTATAGCCGTAAAGTATCTCATAACCAAGTTTATGCATCATTTCGACTGTTCTTGGCATGTGCCTCATTGTCATCGTGCGTGATGTAGAGTCGAACGTAAGAATATCAATAGAATATCGAGAAGGTTGCTCAAGTTTTTCTGGACCTTTCCGTTTTCGGCCAAACTTATCAAAAGATTCTGTGTCTTCAACAATATACACCTGGAATACAAGCAACAAATTTTTGCCACAGCTTTTCAATGCAACTACTTTATGCTTTTCTTTCATGAGGTCCGTCATTCCTGCAAAAACTTTCTGAAATACTTGTTTTGTGTTGTTTGTGCCTTCCTGATAGCAACGTATGAGAAATGCGTCACCATTTGCAAGAAATCGCTTGTTCTCTGGAGCCTAAACTCAACTCATATGCGGTAATTTTTATAAATCTTGAATCCACTCTTATACGGACCTCTACTGTTCCAACCTCTACAAACTTATTTGCACTAGAATTTCTGCTGCGAATCCCTCCTTCTAGAAAAATGACCTTAAATAGTAATCATGACGTTAAGCAACTTGTAAAAAATCGAAAAATAATTTAATTGCAAACGAAATCCTACCTTACATTTCACGTCATTAGTCACATTTGGAAATTGGGTGAAATGAGGATGAACATACATATATCCCTCACTGTCCATAGTCGCAAAATCATAGTCATCGTATTTGCACTTCAACTGGCGCAAGCGTTCGCCAACGCGGAAATACTAAAAAAAAGCTTGTCTTGCATAAATATAAAAACCATTCGTGGTATAACTTTGCCACTATATAAAGTGGGACCAAGTGGGACCCTGTAAAGAGCTGAAACTCTTTTACGCAAATCTTAAATTATATAAATACCAGTGCGTCATTTCGAGGCTCGCACTGGCCCTTACTTTCTTTACGCTTTACTCATTCCCGCACAATAGTGACATTGAAACTCACCGCGCTATGCCGACTATGACGAATGATTTGTAAACAACTATTCAGTCTAAAGGCTTTTCCATATGAGATCGGTAATTTCGCGTGAATGAAACTTCTCCCAAAAGAACAAATGCTGATTTGGATCGGTTTTTGGAGTTTTCATGCCTTGATATTCGCCATCAGATACAACATCACCGTGGGCTACATCTCTGTGCAAAAATCTCTTCATAATAGGGTTAAAATCTTGGCAAAGTAAACACTTACGCAACCAATTCTTTTTGGCCCCGTTCTCGCAAAGTAATAAACTTTAGCTCAGTTTTCTGAGCTAAAGTCCGTCGTTTGCACATTAACTTGTCAAACATATCCGTGACCTTGTAAAGTTGTGCTACAGGCTCAATTTTATGGCCAAAAGCCAAGTGGATCCGATTGACGCGCATTTTTTGAGGGATCCACACAACGAATCCGCTCTTGCTTTTGTACAGTGGATTCTCATGTAAGTAGCATGCGCTGTGCAAAATTTGGGCTCAAGAAATACGCTGTAACTCGCTCCATGATTTTCGTGACAGACAGATCAGACACACGCACAGACAAACGTAAACAACCCTTAGCCCGTTATTATAAGTTACCAGTGCGTCACCTCTGCTTAGCAGAGGCTCGCACTGGCTCTACTATTCATTTGCCTTACTCATTCTCGTAAAATCGTAGCACTGGAACTCACCACACTATGCCGACTACCACGAATAAAATATAAACAACTACTCATTTAGAAAGCTTTTTCACGTGAGATCGGTGATTTCGCGTGTATGAAACTTTTCGCAGGAAGATAAACGCAAGTTTGAATAGGTTTTGAAATTGTCATGGCTTGATAGTCGCCATAAAGGCAGTAGTCACCGTGAGCTACATCTCTGTGCGAAAATCTTCTCAAATGCTTGGCTAGAACCTTGACAAATTGACCATTTACGCAACAAATTCTTTTTGGCGTCGTTTTCGTTTTGTAGTAAACTTTTGACCACTTTCCGGGCTAAAGTCCATCGCTTCCACATTTTTACCAAACACATCCACGACTTTGCAAAAAGTGATGATACGGACCCTTGCGGGACAGAAGCAGGTGGATCCGTTTGACGCGTAATTTCTGAGGGATCCACTTAACGAATCCACTCATGCTTTTGCATGTTGGACTCTCATGAAGGTAGCATGCGCTATGCAAAGTTTGGGCTTAGAATGCTGGCTGGAAGACGCTCCACGAATTTCGTAACAGACGGACACACAGACACACGTAAACAACCCTTAGCCCGTTATTATAAGGTCTTGCTGATCACTAATTGCAAATAATTATGGTGACATTACCAGGGCTCGGCACAAGGTGGCTTTTGGAAAATGCAAAAAGCGAAATCCCTCTTGACTTTCCCAAAGTTTTACGAAGTCCCCTTTGATCTTGAACCATAACGCTAAAAAATCTCCAAAATAACGAAACATCGACCAAAAAAGAACGTAGCGAGTTTCCTGTCTTTTCGGCCGCAAAAACGAAACCCCTTTGCTTTTTGTCCCAAAAGCGATATCCAGCTTGCTTACCAAGCCACCTGTGCCGAGCCCTGGACATGAAACTTGTTCCGTAAACCTTGATCCTGTAAAGAACTACGCTGAGACGTTGTTATTTGAGAAAAAGTACGTAAGGATAATGCTCCAGGCGCACATGCATATGATAAATGGTGACATCATTTTGTGAAGCATGAAACGCAAGAAGACTGTGAAAACAGTGAATGAGTTCACTCACATAAAACGAAAGGCATGCTTAGAGGATAGATGCACAAACTCGAAATGAACTTATTTGTTTTGGCTCTGCTATCCTTTTAATCAAGGCGTATCTGTTGGATGTCAATAATTTATACACTTGCAAGTAAAAAGTTCTACACAGCTGGGCGTACTGAGGGTGGGGAAAATGGATCGCAATATTTTTGAAAGTTACTTAAATGATTTGAAAATGTGCAAGTGACTTCTTTATGCCTATATATAACTAAGTTAATTTTTAAAATTGTATAATTCAGTCCAGTTTTAAAAAAATTTTCTTCGGGGGCGCGGCTGCCGCTTTGTTTACATGTGCAACCATTTTCAAAAAAGAAAATTACTTTAATAGTACTTGACACCTTTGCTATACTTCAGTACTATGTATAATTAGACCAGCATCAAGCATTAGCACCAGTAAACTTAGAGTTTCGACCAGATTACTACCGACTCAGGTTTATCATACAGAATTTGTTAGTGATGCACTCACAGTTCTACGATTAGTGTTGTTCTTAGCGCCTTGAAGCACAATCACATTTTAAACTGCGCACAATACATGGGCTTTGATTTCAAGATAGTGGTGTGCTGATCAAATGTGCTCGCTAATAAGCAAACTCATCTTTTTGATGAAAGGCCAAATAAACTAAATATTAGGTTGGTGCAAAAGTTTTGTCACTTTTTTCAATCCATCGGCAAACACGCTAGAATGAAGATAAACAAACGCTTCAAAATGTATCCAATGCAGAATTTCTTTCTCTTTCCAGATTCAAAACTCTCATGTGTTTCGTTGCAAAAGTGACGAGATATTGCTGGAGATTGCAACCACTCGTTTTTACCATGCCCAACTTTCGCTAATTTTCAAAGTTTTTGTATGAGACTTTCGAAGAAGCCCTAATAACCAGCAGATAGGGCAAACCTTTTGCCAACTATTGTGATTTTTTGTAGCCCTACGGCTTGTCTTTCAGAATTTCTACGATTTATTTTTTGAAGTGACCAAATTTTACATTCAGCCTATTTTAACCGCGTAGAACATAAAATGTTAAACACTTCAGTCACCATTCGATGCAACTTTTTCTCCTCCTTCTACACCTGTCTTTTTTCGCTGAGACAGGCGAAATTTGTGAAAAAAATCGCAGTATTTCTCAATTTCAGGAGTGCGACTGACGTAACCTGTGTTTCAAAATCTTCATAATTCGAAGCGAAAATCGCTCATTTACTTTGTAATGGTCGCGGCAGTAATAATCGAGTGTTGAAACCTTAGTATTCTGTAGGTTTTGCAGTGTTTGGTGCAACAACAGGTTATGCGATTTTTCCAAAACACAACACTTTTAGAAAATTATTTAACAAAATCTGAAAAAGCAACTAAAAAAAGAAAAAATTGCATAAGTTGGCAAAAGGTTTGCCCTATTTGGTGGTTATTAGAACCCCTCCGAAAGTCTCATACAAAAATTTTGGAAATTAGTGGAAGTTGGACATGGTAAAAACGAATGGTTGCAATTTCCAGCAAATATCTCGTCACTCTCGCAACGAAACACAATAGGTGTTCAGCAGCTGGAAAGAGGACGAAATTCTGCATTGGAAACATTTTAAAGCGTTTGTTTAACTTCATTCTAGCGTGTTTGCAGATATATTTTAAAAAATTACAAAATTTTTGCACCAACCTAATATTTTAGCCTGGGTTTCGGACTTCTTCACGGCTTGGAAACATCTCTAGTAATTTGTCAAATGTTTGAAGCTATTCAATTTGTGCTTTATTTTTGTTGTATTTTGTGAATGTTAGAAAACTTTGATACAACCAGTAGCAGCACTTTAAAGCGCATAAATTATATGAAAGATTTTAAAAAACTATGAGATCTGGGAATTTTAAGAATTTTGGTGCGAGAATCATGGTGCATTCAAGTACGTCTTCTACTATGAAACATTGTACTCACCACGATGTCGCTTGCATAAGCGTTTGGCATCGCAAATTTACATCCGTTGTCGAACGGATGAAACGGTAGATCATCGTTTTCGTACTGGGGCGCTTCAGCGTTATCTTGGCGTACGTTTCGAGCGTGAAATGGTGATAAAACTTGTGGTGCACTACATTTGATAGCGGAGCGATATGTTCCCATCCATCCAAATATGGCCAGCACACTTACGATTGCCTAAAAAAGAGTAGAAGCTTGCTCGAGAAATTCAATGAGATTTGAATCTGCTGCACTGCAACAAGTTGTGCTTTGAGGGGAAGAAAATCTCAGAAATTCCTTCTTAAAGTCAAATATCAAGAATCATTAACAATTACCATCGTGCTAAAATAGGTTGGAAGGAAGAAAATGTCGTTCATTCATGGCGAAGCAACAAGACAAACCGAAAAGATGCTCGACAATCACTACGCGATAAAGCGAAACAAGCTCTACGAGATAGTCTCTGAACATTCGCATGCCTAGTTTGTGCAAATTTGAAACCAAAATCCATGTTTATTTATGACCCAAAATCGGATACCTACCTTAAAAGTCCTACAAATTCTGCTGCATGCAGCAGGCAAATGATCCCATTTATACGCCTAATTTATTTTTTCTGTTAGAAATCAAAAAGAAAAATGAAAAAAGCAAAATGCAAAATGGCAAACGCCACCCTAGCAGTCTCGGATGTTACTCATGTATATACATGTGTAATCCAGACCTTCAAAACTTCAATCATAAAAGTTTAGATTTGTTATGCTTTAGTTAGTGAGCAATATCAATTTTAAGCTAAAAAAGAAAAAAGCAACAAGGCTTTTCAACTCGATATAAACGCTAGAAAACAAAAAACATAGATGAAAAAATTTTTTTTGCATTTATGCGTTTCCTTTGCTGCCAAACTCTACGGATTTGTGGATCAACCATAAAAAGATTGCCGGCGACCTTCGAATTTAGCTAATACAACCTCTCATAAGCAAAAACAACTTAGCAGTAGACTTCTGAAAGATCATCTTAGGCCCTTTTTCCCGAATAATTATCGGTGTACCTCTTTCAAAACGCGTACACCTAAGTGCATGCTACGCATACAACTGCTATCGCGCATACGCACCAGGAACCCGGATTCGATTTATAAAAAAAATTATGCCAAATTTGTCGTCGTGGGTGAAAAAAGCAATTTTCTGAAAACTCTGAGTTCTTTTCTTATGTATAAATCCATGAATGCACCGACGAAAGAAATCAAAAACGAGAGCATTAGCAATTCAAAGGATGTGGTCGTTTTTATGAAAGATAAAGTAAACTGTGATAAGCACTTTTTGAAGATTAGGTGGAAGTTGACAAAACAGCCACTGAGCAATAATATACGCACAATTATTAAATTGCAAAGGAACTCCTGGGCAGTTTTGGAAATTTCATTTTCAGAGTCAATTTTTCGCACTCGAATGAATCATAATGAGGAATATTTTGCATGGTTTTGGGGGCCTAAGCTGCAAAAAGCCTACGCTTTTCAGATTCGCATTAAGTTTTTATCAATGTCAAGCAGTGTTTGACCTACCTACAGACCAAAGAAGAAAGTTTGTGCAACGATGAAAGTTTCACATTTTTTGTTATTGCTGCCATTTTTTCGCAGTGAGCAAAGAAAACCATTCAAAGGTTGATCACTTTAAATAAGGAGGCTGTCTACTTTAAAACCGCAGCTGTCTCGGATTTTACAAAAGGAGCACAAAAATTACAAACTCTTATACTTGTCTTTGACCGTACCTGTTTTCGCAGTCGGCGTCGATTTTGTGAGGATCGCCACGGGCCCAAAAGATGTGCAATACATTATATGCCCCCAACAATATTTGCAGCAATCAAAGATTTGGTTCGTTTCGTTAGAAAAGGAAGACTTCAAACTTATTCACTCGAAAATTGGGGCATTTTTGAGGTGCAAAAATGGCCGATTTTTTGATTTTTTCGAGAAGAATTTTTTTACAGGGTGTGCTCTAAATTGCGACACAGTCTATAAATAGCTCAAGCAGAGCTTCACATGATTACCGGATATGAGCTCTCCAGCTCTCTTCGTGCCTAAGAAATTCCTGCAGGCAGGCCGGCAGGATTAGGCCGGCAGGAGAGTCTACAGGCCGCATTTCATGTCGACCTTTTTTTCCCTACTGCGCATGTTGGTGGCCCAAATGAAGAGCTGAGGACCCAACAAATTGGATGTAACTTGCAGACAACATTATCTTTGCGACAAAGTTTGCAGCTTTCAAAAAGGATCAATTTGCCTGTAGTTATACAGCAGTTTGAAAAATTTCGCAGGTGCCCGGGAATTTTCATTACAATCTATGTAATACTGATAAGAATTCTACAAATTTTTTATTATAGCTGTAAATAATATCGTGCCATGAGAAAGAAATAATTTCGTAGAAGTACAAAGAAAACTGACCAAGAGATAGCATGTTTTCTCTCTTTTATGCATTGAATGCCACGATCGGAGCTGATGGAAGTAGCACCTGAATGAATAGTTGTCATTTGAGAATTTCATTTTTTTTCAGGCTACATTTGCGAGCGCAAACAAATACAAATATGAATACATCGAGCAGATATGGATTTCTCGACTCTTGTTGGAATACAGAAAAGCAGTTGTTGTTACCTATTACTATACCACAAAGAGAGTTGTAGATTTGTTGCAAACGAATATTCTAATAACTATAGAATGAGAACTGGAAAGGCGTGCATGCCTTTTCTCGTGCGGTTGAAATTTTCCAATTGCAGCATAATTATCCATAGAAAATTTCTGGGCCATTCGCGATATATACGAAATCGTTTTGAGAGTCAATGGTTGAACGCAAGCATATTTGCGGAGTCTAAGAGAGTTACGTCACCCCTTTGAAAAATTATTCTGCATGTCGGAATATTGCAAGGAATATTTTATGAACCGGAAAAGTTGTCATGCTGTTTGGTTGCTGGACACTTCCTGCTGAAATCAAAAATTGCAAGCCAAATCTTTGGAGCTAATACCAGCAAGTTTTGAGTACTTCGTTATTTTCTCTACATGGAATTAGGTAGTATGGGACTGGAATGGATAGTATGTAAAAATCAAGCACGTAGCCATCTCATTCCATATTAAAAAAAACAAGCATCATGAGCTCACTTTGCTAAAAAGTCGACGTTAAAAACGAAAACGATAAATCTCAAAAATATGAAAGATAAGCTGGTGTGAACGGATGGTGCACTCGAAATTCATAAACTGCATGTTTTTGTTGAGAGGGTGCCATGCTTTTTGACTCATTTGGTTTAGAGAATAAACACAATGCGGTGCTCTAATGCTCCATAAGGCACTACTGGAACTTTCATGGAAATATAGCTTATTCAATCAATGCATCACATTTTTCGATGTGAACAACTAGAAATCAAAAGCCAGCTTTTTTAATGAGAAAATTTGTCTTATAATCTTTGTAATACTCTAGATAAGCTAAGAGCATTGAAAGGAGTCAACGCTCCACATAATTTCGATATAAAATCAGCTTTGAATGATTTTAAGACCAAAGGCAGTTAAAATATCTCTGATAAGTATTGTTCATGCAAAGATTCATAAACGGTGAAATAGGGAGAAGCGACATGTACAGTTAAGTCCCGCAAAAAGTCAAGACCCAGTTATTCAAGATTAGTGTGCTTATCCCTATTGATATGATATGGGAGTTTTTTTTTGTACATAAAGAATCATACTACAGCGAGAAGGTAAAAGCACAAAAGTTTAATCATGTTCTAGGTAAAACAGATTGAATACCTTTTCTGCTTTTGAAGAGTGTGGTACTTTCCTCTAAATAGAATATATTAGGTTGAACCGAAAGTTCGTTCGCACCATTTTCAAAAAATCATAACTTCTTTCCGTCACGACGATTTCGCGAATTTTAAATTTTGTTAGAAAGCGTAAAGCATGTAGTTTCCAATAGTCTCCTGGAGACTTTCCAGCATGTTCAGATTGCAGAGATAAAAATGAAAGAACGAAAACATCTGAAATTCGGAATTTTTGAGAAACATTTCCAAAAATCTAGAAACTGCGCGATAAAATCCAGGAAAGCCATTATCCTAGTTTTTCTTATATTTGATTACAAACTGAGTTAAGTTTGTGCTGATCGAGCTCTTTTTTCAAAAGTTATGATTTTTTGAAAAAAATGCTGAAAAATCAATTTCTTAGGAATTCTTGGGGGTGTGATTTTTCGGATTTTTCTTTCAAAAAATCATAACTTTTGAAAGAAGAGCTCGATCAGCACAAACTTAACTCAATTAGTAGTCAAATGTAGGAAAAATTAGGATAATGGCTTTTCTGGATTTTATCGCGCAGTTTCTAGATTTTTGGAATTGTTTCTCAAAAATTCCGAATTTCGGATGTTTTCGTTCTTTCATTTTTATCTCTGCAATCTGAACATGCTGGAAAGTCTCCAGGAGACTATTGGAAACTACGTGCTTTACGCTTTCTAACAAAATTTAAAATTCGCGAAATCGTCGTGACGGAAAGAAGTTATGATTTTTTGAAAATGGTGCGAACGAACTTTCGGTTCAACCTAATAGCAATTTGTTAGAGTAACGTGAATAAATGTGAAAATAAATATATTTACGACAGCTTTTACAGCAGAATGAAAGGAGGTTGTCTCTTGGCATTGCCATAATGCTTTTCTCTATTTTGAAACGAGCTTCATATGAGCAGCCGAAAATCTTTTTCTTTGGACAGCTTTTCTGCGCCATAAATTACGAACATCATGAGCTCACTGTGCCAAAAAATGACGTTGAAAACGAAAACGATAAATCTCAAAAATATGAAAGGTAAGCTGATGTAAGCGATGGTGCACTCAAACAATCATAAACTGCATGTTCTTCTAAGAGGGACGCTTTTGCACTGCATGGCAGTTAACATGCTTTTTGGCTCATTTTGTTCAGAAACTAAATACAATGCTGTGCTCCAATGCTCAATAAGGCGATATGGAACTTTCACAGAAATATGGTTTATACTTCAGTCAATGCATGACATTCTTCGATGTGGACAAATGGGAATCGAAAGCACCTCTTTTTCAGTTTTTGTTGAGAAGGTATGTCTTATAACCTCCGTGAATACTCTAAATGTTTATAATGTATTGAAATGAGTCAAAGCTCCACATAACTTTCGACATGAAGCCAGGTCTCAGTGATTTTTTCGAAAGGCAAAAGACGGTCAAGTATCTAGGATATGTGTTGTTGATGCAGAGATTTGTCAGCAATCAAATAGGGAGAAGCAACAACCACGGCTAGGTCTCGCAACGAGATTAAGACCCAGTCTTTCAAGTTACTGTACCTACAATGCACACTGATACGTATGAAATATTGCAATGAAAGCAAGAAATTTCAAATATTCTAGATAAAGCAGGCTTTTTAAATACGTTTCCTGCTTTACAAGAGTGTATTCAAAATACTTTTTTGTGCCAAAAGAGTGTAAGAAATTGCAAGAGTAATGTTATGCAAGAAAATTACTACTACAGCTTTTAGAGCAGCAGGAAAGGCGGTTGTCTCTTGGCATTGCCATAATTCTTTTCTCTATTATGTACACGGATATGGACATTGCAAAGCGTTTTAGGCAAATGTGCTGGAAGGCAAAGAGCCTTTGATGTCACAAAGTTTTTTTTTCGAAAGAAAGTATAAGCAGAAATCACTTTGAAGCGCAGTGAAATTTTCAGTGAGATGAGATAGATATGTCAACTCGAAGTCTTTGAAATTCATAAAATAAAGTTCTGCCTTCTCTAAAGTATCTAGAAAATGCTGCTTAGAATAGTGAAAAAGTTTCGGATGGCAAGGAAGCCGAAGAATTGACTGAATCACAACCGTGACACATTGAACTTAGACGTAAGATAGCAGGTTTATCTGCTTATCAGTAACGGTGTCGTCGTCATGGAATTGGACGGCTAACACCAAGGACGAGAATCCTAGCAGCTGAATGAATTATATTCGTTTATTAGTTGTTTGATAACTCCCGTTATTGTGATATCCTCCAGCAAAAAATGACGCACGTGGTATTTCAGCCATTTCAAACTGTTCAGACACGTTTGGCAATATTCCCCCCCCCCCCCCCGCCTCCCCCCGTCTAAGCAATAGTAGGAACGTACCAGCACACTTTGCGTTTCGAAATTCTAGGTTCCAGTTTTTCAACGTAAGACGGGCCAGAGTGACGTGCCTAAAAATGAGATAAGGGCGAAGCCACGTATGACGTTTGTAGGACAAATCCCGATTATGCGAGAATGCCGACTTTTTATTGCTGTGCTAACATGACCGGCCATGTTCAATGGAATTTATGACTTGCAAAGTGTGCCGACATCGTACGAGCATGGTTGCACAGCTGCTCTACGGATGTCACATGCTAAATAATGTTCCCACTTGGAAAACCTCCGAAAGTCAAACATTAAGTGTGCATAATCTAGCGTCAATTATGGTAAAACAGCTCATAAAACTCAAGAAAAAGTTCGTAATGAAAATTTACTCCAGACTCACTTTGTGCCTGGCCCTTTGCAAATCTTATCAATACCCAAGGTTGATCATGAGGTCAGGCACAAGCCCTTCAAAACCGACCCCTCCCCCTTCCCTCTTGCGAAAGCCCCCAAACAAACCCTCTACTTCGACTCCAAGACCACTGTGACATTTCAAAGAAGTTCAATCTTTACTGAAAGGCTCTTTTTTAAGTGTAAGCCCCACTTTTTGCGATTGCACGACCATGCGGCACAACAACTTGACTTTTGGATCTGGATAGCCTTCTTTTCAGAGCTATAATTTCCACGGGGGTGGGATGTTTGATTCCAGATCAGTATAGCAAGAAGAGGCTTTGAGCTCAATATTAAAGGAAGAACGATTTTTGAATATTGAAGACAAGTTAGGGGAGTCAAGCGCAAGGCTACAAAAGCTGAGGTTGTCTAAGCTTTTGAGGGGGTTATGCCTGACCCCATTAACTTTATTTCCGAAGAAGCTTTCCCATCCAAGTTTTATGTGATTCACTATCACGAGCTCGAAGATTGTTCAGTGGGTGTTTGAGCTTGCTTCGAATTGTTTTGGTCTTGTTGTAATTCATGGAGGTGCAACTCACACAATCGAGATGAAAAACGTGCCTGTTAAATTTTTGGCAGCACTTTTTACTCCATCAGTTGAAAGCGGTATAAAGCCTAGCTTTTAGCATAGACTGGTAACGAACATTACTTCGTTACGAGTATAAAAGAACTGACTTACTGCACCATTGAAGACAAGTTAATAATTTGAAAAATACGCTTTTTAGAAGTTGAGAAACATTAGAAAATGCAGTGGGTGACGGTTTGTAGAGCTCATAGAAGTATCTTGACAAGCTATTTACGGAAATGATACCCATTTTACATAGCAACCTTCCTTGATAACATTGTGATACGTCATGGTAAGGCCCCGGTCAGACTTCACGCGACTTAATCGTCGCGATCTAATCGCCAAGATTTCCATTCATTTTCATTTCACATTCAAAAATGTC